CTAGCGCTTCATTCTTGAAGAATTTGTTGATGAGATCTAAGGACGCAGCAGGTTGATGCGTCGGCACCATGTGGCCCGAGTTGAAAACGCGCACCAAAGCAAGGTTCTCGAAAGATCTCGCCGTACCAGTATCCGTCGGAGCAGCATTAGGGTTAAGCAAGTCTTGAGTCAGCAGCGACTTCTCCTCCGCTGCATTGAAGCCCTCGCTGCCCTTCCACTCGAGAGCGTCGATCCAAGCTTTATTACCCCACCAGTTGCACATTGCATCAGCATCACCGATATACAGAAGCACTCGAACGTCGTTGTTCAATAGATCCGCAACGTAACTGTCGAACGACTGCAAGGTATCGATGACAAAGTTTTCGGCTACTTCGGCACTACCCCCGACCCAGTCGCGGTCAACGTTCAAATATTTGTGCACTGCATCTTGAGCGAGGAACTCCTCGATAAGCGGAATACCATGGCAAAAGCCAAAGTCCACCCAATCGCAGTGTTCCCTCACATCGTAGGGGTTGCGACCAGTTTGGTTGGCGGAGAGTGCAAGGAAGACGTTCTCGAAGCAGAACGCGTCTTGCTCGACACATGATGAGTTATTGGGAGATTGCTGACACTCGCGCGTCAGTTGAGCACATTTGGCAGCGTTGACCTTGAGTTGTTCAGCCACCGCTTCGTCGAGCAGCGTGATGTTATACGAGTTGTCGAGAATATCAGGAGCGTGTTGGTACTGGAAATAACCAAAATATTAATGAAAATATCCGCACAAAACTCTCTAGCATGTCTACATACCTGCACAACTGGGTCCGTCCATCCGTTCCCAACCGCGATTCCTTGTAGATTGATGCTCTTTACGCCAGTGACCTCGTTCTTCTTGTTTTGTTCCCATATGTAGTGTGCCGCTCCAGGGACATAATGTCCACCATAGCTCTCGCCAGTTAAGAAGAACTCTCGTCCATCAAACTCCGGATGCATCTCAATAAAACCCTGCAGAAACCAATACAAGTTTTCGCCCACGTCCTTCTCGTTGTAGTCGTGGTCTCCACCAGAACTGTACGAGAACCCGACGCTTGTAGGCTGATCCAGCCAAAGCATGTTTGCCTCGTATGTCCACGAGTACGGGTGCACTTTTGTTGTGAGGTCTGGTTGAATTCGACACGGACCATTCTCGTTAAAAAGTGCCAGTAAACTTGATCCACCTGGCCCCCCAGTTAGCCAAATGACTAGCGGAGCAGTGCTCGCATTATGTTTTGCCTCGAAAAACCAATAGAAGTAATGATCGTCGTTCTTGTTGGGTAGTTTGATGTACCCGGCCTCATTCTTGGTGTCACCGCAGATGTATTCGTCTGCAATGCCTTCTGCAGGCTCGTGGTCGTCGAAGAACAGCCACCACACACTAGATCCAGCCAGAACCACTGCAGTCACAATGCCCAGGATGATCAGACAACGTTTGATCTTGAGCTTGTTGCTGGTAGAGCCGTATAGGGCTTGTACAGCGGGTAACAGTCGGGTCTTCTCGTTCAAGCGTGGCATTACACGTGTGCTGGAAAATCGCAATTGGGGAATGAGCTGAATCGCTGGGATCATTTGGCATGTCAATTGTGGTATCATTCGCAATCATTCTTAGTGGAGCACCATTATGTACGGTTCAAATCTGGAGCTGTTTCAGGATGATCTAAATTTTAGTGCGGGGTTGCATAGATTCGGTGTTCAGAATCTAAACGGCAGCAACAGAGGCTATGCGTGCGTGCGTGTACTAGTAGTAGTAGTTGCAGGCAAATCCTTCGACGGAGGCGAATTACAGCGTCACCATGAAAAAGTTAATTGCAAGATTGCCTACAGTATTCTGCGCAAGTTAAAGTTCTTGATTCTGATAGAAGTTATTGATCATGTCAAGCGCCACGGCAGGTTGGTCTTGAGGAACCATGTGCCCAGCATTGAACACTCGAACGAACGTAAGCTCATCGAATGAAATCACAGAGCCAACAGGCTCGTCATCGACGACCAAGTCGTGCGCCTTCGTGGCATTGAAAGATGCTGATCCATTCCATTCCAGAGCTTGCAGCCACGCCAGATTCCCTGACCAATTGCACTCGAGATCTGCGTCACCTGCATAGATCAGCACCCGAACTTGATTGTCCAGCAGATCAGCAACAAATGCACTAGTTGACATCATGACGTCAAATGACTTGGCAAACGCTTGGTTGACGTCGAAATTGCACATTTGCCAGTCACCGACGCGCTCGTCTACGTGAAGGAACTCGCGTAGATTTGGCGAGTTGAGATAAGGAGTGATCAGCTCAATGTCCTTGGCGATACACTGGATGACGTCTGTATCGCTGGTGGCGCATGGTTGACGGATGTCGTAAGGATTTCTCTTAGCTGCCATGAAGACGCTCTCGAGGTTATCTTGGCAGTATCCTTCCGCATCCCAGCATAGCCATGGTTGTGACTGGCACGCCTCCATCATTTGGCCACATATTTCTGCCTCGGCCTTCAGTTTTGGCAGCTCGCTTGGGTCAACAAACGAAATGTTATACGCGTTGGTGGCCATGTCAATGAAGTGTGGATTCTGGATCACTGGATTAGTGCAACCGTTTCCAATAGAAATACCTTGTAAGTTAATAGCCAGCACCCCCGTTGGTTTGTGTTGATTCTGCTGGGAGATAAAATGCGCAGCAGCCGGCACGTAATGGCCACCGTAACTCTCGCCGGAGATGAAGAATTCTCGACCCTGTAGTTCTGGATGCCGTTCAAGAAAGCCTTGTACGAACCAGTAGATATTCTCCGCGACATTGTCTTCGTTGTCATCAGCATCCTTTGGGTTCGGTCCGTACGAAAACCCTACGTTGGTAGGCTGGTCAAGCCACACCACGTTGGCTTCGTTGGTCCACGAGTATGGATTGATTTCGGTGGACAAGTCCGGGCCGACGTGACAAGGTCCATTCTCCGTTAGAAGCGCCAGCATACTCGATCCTCCAGGACCACCAGTTAGCCATAGAATTAGAGGTGCAGTCTCCGGATTGCGACGGGCCTCGAAGTACCAAAAGAAATAGTGGTCGTCCACTTTGTTGGTTAGTTTAATGTAGCCAGAGTCTTGCTCCGTGTCTCCACAGAAATGTTCGTGTTGTGCACCATTAGAGGTGATGACACGGATGGGTTTGGCTTGGTGCTTACTAAGTTGCGGATTGGGGATGAATCCGCGCCAAAGGCTCACGCCGAACAACAGGCAGATGGCGCAGACCACTGCGAACGAAGGAACGGGAAGCTTATGGACGCGTGCGTAGCTCCTGACGGACGGCGGTGACTCGAGCGGATGGCCATTCAATAGCGGGGTGATCTCGGACGTCATGGTAGTTTGCGGCTAATAGCAAAATGGGCGCTGCACCGCCAGCACCACCAGAGTTAATGTCGGTGATCTTTTGCATTGTTACCATCATTCTTGGATCGCATACACAAAAGGTGCAGCCAGCTTCAACGTGACCGTCTTCGGATAGCCGCCTTGCTGTGCAGCAGACGCAGCCCGGACCAGACAAGTCGTGTCTGACAACCGTATCGTCACGCGAATCTCTTCCTGGCAGGATTCGTTGAGGGCTCCATTTGCTTGAATCATCAGCGTCGCTGACAGAGTGACAGCTTGCGCGATATTACAAAAAAAGCAACCGGGCAGCTAGCTGGAGCTCAGCCGATCGCACCCCCAATGTGGATCGATACCTTGCGCTTGGGTTCCTGCCTTGCACGCCGCGCTACGTCTGGTCTCCGGTCCGTACTCGAGACGGCAAGATTGCCACTGACACTGCGTCAACCAGTTATTGGTTTGTTGAACTTGAGTTTTTGAAGCCATGTCTGGTCTTTGACCAGTCTGTCATCTTGAATCTCCCTACTCTCTATGATATAATGTATTGAGCAATGTTATGTTAAACTTAACTATTTCAATGTGAGATCTAATATACTGTCGTATAGCATAACCTAGTCATTGCGCAAATCCGTTTAACTGTCATAATGTAATCCACCTTTGCATCCAATCACTGGCCAGCAGCCACGTACCCCTTCGAGCCTCACATCCGTATTCACCCCGACACCATCGCCATGTCTTCGAACCTCGTGAACTTGGACGCTCCCCGCTGGGACCAGAGCACATACGTTGGCCGTGCCAAGCACTTCTTGGCCACGACCAACCCGCTCAACGTTCTGGCCAGCGATGCTGAGCTGGATGCCGCGAAGCAGCTCGTGGAGGAGTACAAGGCCGGCTTGCACCCGCACCTGGGTGAGGACGAGATTTGGCGCGCCAAGCAGCTCGTGGACAGTGCCTTCCACCCGGACACGGGCGAGAAGAACTTTTTGCCCGGTCGTATGGCCTTCCAGGTGCCCGGTAACATGATCATCACGGGCTGCATGATGACTTTCTACCGCTCCACGCCCGCTGTCATCTTCTGGCAGTTTATGAACCAAACCTTCAACTCCATCGTCAACTACACCAACCGCAATGCCAGCACGGGTGTGAGCCAGGAGCAGCTGCTGCAGGCGTATGCGGCCGCTAGTACGGCCTCGGTGGCCACGGCTCTGGGACTCAACAAGTTTGTGGCCAAGCGCCCCAAGCTCAGCAACGGCATCGTCGGTCGTCTCGTGCCCCTCGTGGCCGTGGCTGCCGCTAACTGCGTCAACATCCCGCTTATGCGTCAGCGCGAGTTGCTGGGCGGTATTGAGGTGGAGACGGACGACGGAGAGAAGATCGGCAAGAGCAAACGCGCTGCCGTCGAGGCCGTGGCTCAAGTTGTGCCCTCCCGCATCCTCATGGCTGTACCTGGCATGTTCTTCCCGCCTCTCATCATGAACAAGCTGGAGCAGCGTCCGCTCTTCCGTAACAACAAGGCGGTCAACGCCCTTACCATGGTGGGTCTTACGGGTGTGTGTCTGAGCTTCTCGACCCCGCTCTGCTGCGCTCTCTTCCCTCAGCGTAGCTCCATGGCTGTGTCCTCTCTCGAGCCTGAGCTGCAGGAGACTATCCGCCAGCGCACGTTCAAGAAGGACCCGGTCACGCACGTCTTCTACAACAAGGGACTTTAAATGTCACGGGCCACGGCTTATTGTGACCCTAGAACTTTTTTTTTTTCTTTCGAAGAGCTGCATCCAGATTACAAGATCGTGTATACCAATACAACCGCTCGATAGCATATACCTGCTGTGTGTACTCACTTGCCCACAAAACCGAGTTCTAGTTTTCCTGTGTATTAGACATTTTCTTCACATGCAACGGAGGCAGTCCTGCGTGTCCTACTGTAAAGTCTTCAACATGAGCTGCAGCCTCCGACGCGGTCGCGAGGAATCAGACGCAGCTCGGAGCCGTGCTTCAGGAACACGTTGCCGGCACTCTGCGAAGGGTTGATGCCAATGCCATCTACAGTAACAGCCTCGTCAGTCTATTTACGCTTGATCCAGCTTCTCTAATTTCTCTATACCATTGGTGATGATGGCGCTGGTAGCTGCCGGCACGTGGAACTGAATCAAGGACATATAACTCTGTCAATACCGCAGCGATGAAGGCCATTATTGCAGCATTTTGTTTGGAATTTTACCTCCTCCGCAACGTATTTGAGCACGGCCGTGAACGGGGCTTGCTCCGGCACATTCACGCTGCGATAAAAGCAATGGACAAAGATTTAGAAGGCGAGGAAAGTGGAGAGCAGGAGAAGGCGGCGTACACTCGGTACGGCAGCTTGGGGTCCGACGTGAGTGTAACCTTGAACGTGACTTTGGCGGCCCTATACACGCGCAAACAGCAGCGTCAGGCGACTACGGCGACAACGAAGAGAGGCAGAGAGACGCCACGTACATTATGGAGACTGGTACGAAACGAGAATGAAAGGGAGCGAGTCGCGATAGATGCTAATAGATAGGCACTGTACTATCGCATACATATTGAAGGCTCTTCAACTTAGACTTGCACAGGTGTTATTGTATCATACAATACATACAATTTGTATGTATAAAATAAAAATAATACAGCGCAGTC